TTAGCTCTTAGTGTTGAAATCGTTGGCATCTGCAGTTCTATAAACATTTCTCACAGTATCAATGTACAAAATGCAATATTTCTCAAAGGTCAAAGAGATTCTCATCAGTATCAAAAAATGATAAAGTTACATGAGGGAAGTGTGGAGATCCTGAATTTAGGAACTGTATGCTATATACAAAATAGAAGGTAGAGTCTGTTGACCTCAACTCCTTTATTGTTCTTACCCTGGTCCTGTCTTATTTCATTTTGGGATATATATATATTTTCCAGTCAAGAAACTTCCTTGTTGAAGCTGTTTCTGCAGCTGTTTTTAACAATGTGTGTCCAGATGACATGTTTTCTTCTTCTTAGAAATTTTATTGCAGAAAATCTCTGAGTTTAATTGAATGTTATTTCTAGTCTTATTTATAATTTTCTTTTCAAAAGAAGGAATTGTAATTAATGTGTCTATGCAAGAGACTTCTTCCTCAATTGCAACTTTTAGATGTTGAAAACAATTCAGATGTATTATGTTTCTCTGGAACTGAATACTTCTTGTGTTATATTTCACTCATTCTTACATGAGGAAAATCTAATTAAACTGATAATAATATCACCAAAGTAAACGTAGGTGATAATGCATCATTTCTTTGCTTAGTTCTATAAGAAGCTAGGATACATTAGGCAATGTTCTTTTTAAATTTCATGCACTTAGAGTAAAAATGTATTTATAAACAAGAAAGTTTGGAGGAACCAAAAATAAGAGAGCAAATCTTAGTATCTTTCCTCCTTACTTCACACTAGGTAAAGGAAGGTATTAATCGAAGTATTCAGATCTTTGTATGTAATCAATCTGCTTGAACTGTTTTTGTTTTTTGGTTTTTTTTCCCTGTGTTCGGAAAGTTTGTAATTCATATGACAGATAAAGGGTAATTTTCCTTAATAGACTGAGAACTCTTAAAAACTACTTTGGAAATCCTTAAACCAAAAACAAAGAAACGAGTAACAGATTTTTTATTTTTGAGATTTCCATTTTTTAAATCTTTTAATTCTCTGATATGAAGGGCTATATCCCAGTCACCCCAGTCTGAACATCCTCCAGTTCACCACCTACCACTGAACAAAACATTCTAGAAAGTTTCACCAACTCAAAGAAGCCTGGACTTTTTATTTCATCCACAGACAACTCTATGATTCAGTGAAATGAGCCCTAGACTAAGAGTCAGAGAACTACATTCCAAACCCTACTGCCTTACGTATTAGCTGTGTGGCCTTGGACCTATTACTAACTTCTCTGATCCTCCAATTTCCTTTCATTTTTTTAACACCTTTATTATGATATGGTTTTCATACAGTAAACTACATATATTTCAGATGTACAATTTGATGAATTTTTATAGATGTATATACCCATTAAACCACCACCACAATCAAGACAGCTAACTTTTCCATCACTCCCCAAGAGGTGCAAATTTTGAGTTCCCAATTTATCCCCTCCCACCCCGTCTGCCCCCTGGTAACCATGTTTGGTCTCTATGTCTGTGAGTCTGTTTCTGTTTTGCAGATAAGTTCATTTGTGTCCTTTTTTTTAGATTCCACATATAAATGATATCATATGACATTTTTCTTTCTCTGCTTGAGCAGTTTTGACTAAATTGGGAAATAAAACAAATCAATTGATCTAAGTGATTGACAGAATATTTAGCTATGACATTTTTAGATATATCCTTACTTACTATCTCTAGGGATACTTCTAGTCTTATGCTTGTACAGTACATAATACTACTAATACTGTTGTGATTAGAACAGATTTCGTGCCATTAAAATGCTACTTTAATGATATCATTTGGGTTTAGGGGCTCATTCTCATGTTTTCTAACTTTTCCAACATGTTATTTCTTATGTTTTTCTTCCTCTCAGAGGAAACTCCTTTTTTATTTTTCTTTTCCTCTTCTGCTTGATTTATTTTCTCTTTCTTGCCTTATGCCCTTGGCCTTCAACGTTCTCTTTTATTTCCCTGCCATGTCTTTGGTTACAGATTTTCTGCCTATATTCTTAGAACCTGGATGAGTGTCATTCAATTTCTTTGCTCAGATTTGCAATACCGCACAACAGGCAATACAAGGCTTTGATACATCTACTATTAATAGATAAAAACTAAAAAGATGCCAAGGAAACCCAAAAGTGTGAGCTTCTGTAGCAGTGTCTGATTAAATAGGGAGTCATAAAGGTTAAAAACCAATACTAGGCATTACAGGAATAAAGTGAATTGATCAACTCAGGAAATCTAGATCTAAATGTTTTCATGCAAATGTAACATTACTGAGGAGTTTCTCTCTCACAGAGCATGACATGATAAATCTGCATATTAGAATACAAATTTTTTCTTATTTCAATTAGAAATAGAACTGAATTGTGTGGTTGTCCACCAAAATCCAATCTCCATTTCTTCTACAGTGTTAGGACCTTCCAATTTTATAGAGGCACATTGGCTACCCAAAATAAAAGCTAAATTACCCTGACTCCTTTTTAGAGAAGCAAGATCAAGTGTCAATGACGTATAATGAGATTTAAGGGAAATTGTTTGAGTTAAATTTTGAAAGGTATACTTAAAGGATAGAGACATGCCTTCCTGTTGCCTGGATATAGAGTAGCTAGTTTGGACCATGAAGTGAAAGCTGTCAAAATTAATGAAACAAGACAGAAGCTGTGGTCCTGGATGATTGTGGAATGGCTAAACCAGGATAAGAGTGCTCTGGTTATATAAAAAGTAAATGAATTTCTATATTGTTTAAGCCATTGCTCATTTTTGGTTTTCTGTAGCTTTTAGGTAAACTTGGTTCTAATAAATATAAGCTTCTACTTTTCACAGCAAAAATTAGAAATTTTAAACCATTTTGCTTTGAAATATTTTGCATAGATAGATCCCAATTCTTCAGTTTGTGTTTGTGTGTCTGTCCTGGGAGCTACTTTACTGTAGCAAGCACTCACTACAAGACCTAATGGCTCAGAAAGGCATCCTTTAATTTCCAGCAACAGAACACTAGAGAAGTGAGTTTTGTCCCTTTGTTCATTTCTCAGGCTCTTCTCTCGACCTGCTGTAACCCTATTCTTTTTTTCTATTCTCCTCATTTTGCATGCCTTCCAGCTGCACATGACCTAAAACTAGAACCCAATTCTAGAAGCCTTTGTGTCCCTTAATTATACCTTCCAATCTGTCACCAAGTGCTGTCAATTCTACCTTCAAAACTTTTGTCCTGTTTGTCCCTGACTCTCCATCTCTGTTTATTTTCATAGTGCCCTGTCTCAAGCTTTATCACGTCTCCCCAGCCACGGTGCCCCTACTTTGTACCCTGTAGCTCTTTTCTCTCCATCCCACATTGTTACTGTCATCAACCCGGAGAGATGGAGCATGCACTTTGAATGTGGTGCTTACTACTCAGAAGTCCTCAGTGATTTCTCATCACCCCCAGAGGTGTTTACATTCTGTGTTCTTATGAGCCATAGGGTCCACAGAGTTGCCTCTCTGGTCCTCAGTGTGGATGTCATGTTAGATGAGGCAGGGCTTGGGCCACCCTGCCCTTCCTCCACCACACACACACTTGCACAAGGTAGCGCCCCTGGAATTTATTCTCCAGTAGTCTGGATGGTCATGTCTTTGTTGAGGATTTTTCTTTCATCTTAAAAAAACATGATTTCCATAAATTAAATTTTGTTAGAAGAGAAGCAATTTCTTTTAGTATTTCAAAGCTGTTTTCTTTGAGTTGTATATTGAATTCGGTCATAATATTATTTTATTTTTAATATACAATTTGCATTCTCTGTTTTATCATTCATTAATCAGTCTTTTCAGAAGTTATCCATTTTATTTATTTACTTTTAAAAACCCAACCTTAGGTTTTAGTAATGTTTTCTCTTTTTTTGTTGTTATTTTTCTCTTTTAAAAAATTCTCAATTTGTTTAGAAATTGTTATTTCAATCTTCTTTTCAGGGTGTAATTTCTTCTTAGCCCATTTACATTAAGTGAAGATAATTATCTTCCTTCCTTCCTCCCTCCTTCTCTCTCCCCCTTCCCCCAATCCTTTCATCTTTTTACACTTTAAATAATTACAGCATTCATGCTGATAGGTTTTCCTTAGAGCTTTTGCTGTATAACATAGATTTGGGTGTGATCTAATCTGCTTTTAATCACCGTGTGTATGGTTAGAAATTTCATTTTAATTTTAATCCAGGAGTTATTTAGGAAAAGTATACATTTCTAAGTATTAAAGTTTGATTGCTTATAAATCCAAGAATGTAGTCTGTAAAAGCACTCTGTATTCTTAGACTATCTCTTTGCTTTGAATATTCTGTTTTCCTGGTATCCTTGTAATCTTTAATGCGCTCTCTCTCTTTGATTTAGTAAATGAGTAGTTGCATTTTAATAGAGGAATTTAACCCCTTCAGGCTTTTTGATAACTGATTATTTCTCAAATGTGTTATTTTATGAATTTTTCAGACATGCACCAGTGTTATTTACTTTTCCTACATTGCTCTTCCTTGTTCTTAAAAAGTGCCGATGAAATGCCACTACTTCTTAGCTCTGGTGGGTGTTTCCCACTGCAGGGATTATTTCTTTGGATTTAGAAGCAGAAACATGTAGTTTTTGTGCTCCTCTTCCTCCTTTCTCCCTTCTCTCTGTCTCTCTCCCTCACTTTCTTTTTCTCTGTGTGTATGTGTTTCTCTGTTTTTGTCTCTCTTTCTTACTTTCTCTCTCACTGTCTCTCAGCTGTGAGCTGTCATGAATGTAGCATCCACAACACTTCATACCTATTTTATAGTTCATATTCTTGATCACAAGTAACGGAATTGATTGGAAAGATATAAGGTAACTTAAAGAACCTGTGGGTATGCTGGGGGACCCAGTATAGATAATGAACATGAGCCAGAACAGTGTTTGCAGCCAATAAGCAACGAGTTAAGATGCTGTTGTTGCTGCCTCCATTACAGGGCACTCATTACCACTTACTTCCATTGCAGGAACGAAGTGCTCTCACTGCTGAACTGTGGACTTTTCATTGGCACCATGATTAATATCAGAGCGCAGCACTTCCTCAAGGTAAGATTCTAGTTCATATCTCCATATTTTGGAAGCCTGGAGAGGGTAGAGAAACCATTTGCTTTCTTGACTTCCTGCCTAGCATCAACCAGACACAATGATGGAGTTTCATACATTACGAAGAATCTTTGAATGCCTAGTGAACATGTAGGATATTTCTCAGGGCTTTTGTGCTTTATTCAACAAGATATTTAGCACCTATTATAAAAATATATGCAATGCTTATTCTAAGTATTTAATATTTTACTTTCCTGTTAATAAGATATAAACATATTTAAAATTGTGATGAAAAGTTTTAGATGCAATCTTAAAAATATCACTTGGACATAGTATTTTTTAAAATTTTATTTAGAATTGTTTAAAAAAAAAAAAGGAAACCATTAGTCTAGGAGAGTTTGAAACTGAGAGTAGCCAGAGTAAGAAATACAATGGGATTACAGATAACATGGAGGGTCCACTTGAGGCAAGTAAGCTGGGGCTACAAGCAACATTACTGTGATGTCTTCCTCCAACTGTGCTCAGATGCCTGGGCACAGCCACACCTAGGTGAAGAGTTGTATTTAGCCTATGGTTCATTTTTAAATGAGCACAAAAAAGCAGAAGAGGAGAAACTGAGTTTGAAGATGGATTTTAAGGAGTGATTATAACGCTTCCTCAAGAAACATAAGGTTTTAGAAGGAAAGCATCCTTGACCTTGAATAGCACAGGTTTGAACTGCATGGGTCCACTTATGCACAGATTTTTTTCAATAAGCGCATACTTCAGTACTACACGATCTGTAGTTGGTTCAGTCTGTGGATGCAAACCTTGGAAAGTGAAGGCTGACAATGAAACTTGAGCATCTACAGATGTTGGTGGGTCTTGGAACCAGTCCCCTGTGGATACTGAAGGCCAGCTGTAAATGTAAGAGGAAGAGGAGGATGTTAATATCAATAGATTGCTGGCCAGATACAAATGATTGTTCTAGTCAAGGTATTAGAGATAATAAGCTGGTTAACTAATAGGTCATGTTTGAAGAGTGGGATTATTGTATGACAATGTATAGGGTATGACCTTGAGTATGAGTGGCTAAGGTGAAGTGGAAATCAAGATAAGTGAAAGAAAGCAGGTCAAGGAAATGTTAAATCAGCATATTGGAAGGATCATTTATATGTATATTGTATGTGTGTATATTAGTTTCATACTAATATATAAGAAATGTGTGTGAGTTTTATATTACTAAATGATGAATTCCACAAATGTGGTGGCTGATAATCAATACCCATTGATTTTCTCACAGTTTTACAAGTCACAGGTTTGGAGTGGTGTAACTGAATTTTCTGTTTGGGGGTCTCATGAAGCCTAAATGTTGACTAGGCTGGGCTTCTTTGTGGTGGCTGTAAAAAGAATTCACTTCTCAACTCATTTAGTTTATTAGGTCGATTAAGTTGCTTGTAGTTGTGAGACTGTTTCCTTGCTGGGTTTGATCAAGGATCTTTTCATTTTTCTTGGCTCTTAGATAGTCCTTAAAATTGAACCCCTCCTTCTTGAAAGCCAGCAACAGTGTATTGAATGTTTCTCATGCCCCAATCTCTCTGGCTTCTCCTTTTGCCTTCCTTTTCTGGTTCTTCCTTTTTAAGACTTTATTTTTTAGAGCAGTTTTATGTTCACAACAAAATGGCGAGGAAAGCAGGGGGATTTTCAATATATTCCCTGCCCTAAACTTGCATAGCCTCTCACATTATCAACATCACTCAACAGAATGGTACTTTTCTTTTTTTTAACCAAGGATAAATATATCTACAATAACATCATAATCACCAAAAGTCCATAGTTTACATTAGGTTTCACTATTGATGTGGTACATTTTACAGGTTTGGACTAGTGTATAATGACACAAATGTATCACTGTAATATTATACAGAGTATTTTCATTGCCCCCCAAATCTTCTATACTTCTGCCTATTCATCCATACCCCTTCACCCCAAGCCCTGACAACCACTGATCTTTCTGTTCTTTCCATTGTTTTGCCTTTTCCAGAATGTCGTATGTTGGAATCATATATTATGTAGCATTTTCAGATTGTCATCTTTCACTTAGTAATATACATTTAAGGTTTCTCCATGTTTTTGCATGGCTTGAGAGCTCATTACTTTTTAGCACTGAAATTATTCCATTGTTTGGATGCACTACAGTTTTTCTATCACCCTCTGAGAGATATCTTGGTTGCTTCCAAATTTTAATAATTATGAGTAAAACTGCTACAAACATCCATGTGCAGGTTTTTGTGTGGACATAAGTTTTCAGTTCCTTTGGGTAAATTTCAAGGAGCATGATAGCTGGATCATATGGTAACAATATGTATGGTTTTATAAGAAACAGCCAAACCATCTTCCAAATGGCTGTACCATTTTTGCATTCTCACCAGCAATGAATGAGAGTTCTTACTGCTCCACATCTTTCATTATCAGTACTCTGGATTTTGTCATTCTAATAGATATGCAGTGGTATCTCATTGTTATTTTAATACACATTTCCCTGGTGAGATATGATGTGGAGCATCTGTTCACATGTTTACTTGCCATCTGTTTATCTTCTTAGGTGAGATGTCTGTTAAGGTCTTTGGCCTATTATTTAATTGGGTTGTCTGATTTCTTATTGTGGAGTTGTAAGAGTTCTTTATATATTTTGGGTAATAGTCTTTTGTCAGATGTGTCTTTTGCAAATATTTTCTCCCAGTCTGTGTCTTGTCTTTTAATTCTCTCAATATTTTTTTTTGTGGAAGTTTATATTTTTAATTAAATCTAGCTTATCGATCATTTCTTTCATGCAGCATGTATTTAGTTTTGGGTTTTTTTTTTTTCCCCAAACACATTGATGTTGATGACTATTGCCTCACTCAAGTAGGAACATATTCTGAAGTGGGAGAAAGACACTTTTCATTGTATAATCTTTCTTGTTTGAATTTTTATCCCACTTTTATATTTTCATACATAGAAAAATGATTAGAAAATGAAACTATAAGACTCTTAATTTAAAACCTATTTCATGAGGTTCTCTTTTCTATTCCTTGTTTTAGAATGTTATTACATCTACAATTACAAACTGGTAATTGATGGCACAATTCTGAAGATGGTTTAGAATTGGGAGAAGTTAAAAATACTTCGTATTTTTTTCATTAGAGTAGTATTTTTACTAATTCAAAATAAGACTTTATCCTATCAGCAATGAGCAACAACTTCACTGATTCTTTGCTCCTATATATTTTAAAATTAGAAATAATAAAATATTATGGTGGTTATCCTAATAAATTAGCTGCTGGTTTATAATACAAGCTCTAATGATTCTGTAGAAAACCTGCATTGAGCTGAAAATCAGTATGTGGCACTCGGACAGCAAGAGTATATAAATGTTTTCTTAAAATTATTTAATATTCATTGATGCCTGTTATGTACTAGATACTTAGATATTGCAAGGGCTGTGTTTATTCATCATTATCATCTCTTCCTTTATTACTTAATTCATTTATCACTTATTTATTGTCTCCAGTATTTTAGGAACTTTTCTAAGTCTTCAGATTAAATTTTCATAAGGACTCAATTATGCCCTGCTGTAGCTTATATTTCATTTGTGAGGAGGGCAGACAAACCAGTAAGCCACAAAAAGAGAGAGTGAGAGGAGAGAAAACAGTAGTAAGATAATTTTGAGCATGTAATAGAACCTAAAAAAAAAAGCAAAAGGGGTTAATTTGAATGGCAGACACTAGTGGGAATGGGGATGAGGTTGCGGTTGGAGGTGGACTGTGGAGTCTCATAGCTTATGACAGTTAGAGGGAAAGTACCATATGATGAAATAAAGGTTCAGAGCGTTGAGAGGGTTTTATTTTCTTAATATTTACTTCTCTGTTCTTTTCAGCATTTTTGGGGGGGGGTGTAAGTAAATTGATTTATTTGAGGATACAAGATTGCCATTATCATAGAGAATTTAATGAAAGGGACTCTGAAATTTATTTAAAGGCTGTATCTGTTCCAAGTTAAAGAAATCATGAATTTAATCAAGCCAGAGGAGATGATAGTTTAATGAAGCTTTTATTTTGGACCATGTATTCTTTTATTCACTCATGTAAAAACACTCTTGAAATGCCTATTCTTACTGATTTTATCTTTTATGATTGCAGGTTTATTCACTTTTGTGTAATATCAATTCATTCATTCAATCAATCTTTCATATATTCTAAAAATTACATCTACTTACAAGTAGCAGGGACCACAACTGAAATTATGTCTTAGAAATCTAGCATTTATTTATTTCTTATAGTGAGAAAACTAGAGGGAGGTTGGTTGGTAGCTTAAGGTTTCATCCTTCTGGCTTTCTATTCCATTGTCATAATATGCTGGCATTTTGGTCCTGGTCCTCAAGATGGCTGCTACACCTCTAGGCATGGCAGGAAAAGTCAGTGCCAGAGCAGAAAAGCAAAAACATTCCTGGAAATCACTTGACAGGCTTCTGCTTTAGTCTCATTGCCTAAAATTGAGTCCCATGGGCATCCCAACCACCAAGAGTTCTGAAGAAGCAGGAAGTAGGATTGGGAATGTCTTAAAACAATCTTTATACATTTTCTAGAACTTGATACACTGATGCTCTCAACAAAATCAAGGAATATGGATAACAATGAACATTAGGCGGTCACCTATGAGTAATTTGCCACAAATTCTACTTATATTATAAACCATTGAAAAAAAACAATTTTATTCATTGTATTAAAAAAGTTTTTGCAAAAATGTTGTTTGGAGTAAGAATACGTGTTTTTACTGGTTGGAACACACAGAACAACCCCATTAAAACAAGCAGGTTTTAATGGTACCATCTGATTTACTCTTGAAACTACATCACTGCCCTATATATTTTAATTATGATATTACAATATTATTATAATAAAAATAAATTGTATTATTTATATTTATCTTTTAAATTATTATGATTACTGTTGTAAGAAAGATAAATTTCTCACCACCAAACT